CAGTCCCGCCTTGGGAGGATTAGCACTCAGGCTGGGACACCAGGAAGCAGCCCCCACCGCCGTGAGAGATTCAAAAGTTATTTTTGAAAAGCAAGCAAGGCCCGCGGGCGGCCCTGGCAGAGGCAGAGCCGGGAGGGAGAGGAACAGGCAGCTATAGCAGAACCCACGCCCCGTCCTGTGACGTGGGCCCCACACACTGTGATATAACAGCGTGGCAGAGGGGGAGGCATCCTGCGTCCCCTCAAGGACTTTTATTGTGGCAAAATATATGTACCATGAAATATCCTCGGGGATTTTTGAGCTGCTCCCAGCCCAGGCCGGATGGCACTGGGGACGAGTCCAACAGGAACAGGGGCTGGGAACACCGGCCAAAAGTATTTGTGTCTAAATGGTGTGTGAGATTCTGCTCAAGTCAGGAAAAATCCTGAAACTGGCAGGAGGTCACTGCTGTGAGGCACAGCTGGGGGTCAAGGGTTAGGAAGCAGTTGCCATCCCCCACTCTTGCAGAATAGGGGGAAGGCAGGAGTGGCCTTGGGGCAAGGAGGAGGGGAGCGAAAGCAGGGGTCAGGCTGGGGGTCTGAGCTGAGGGCTGCAGGCGCAGAAGTGAGCAGTTGGGCCAGCTGGTGTGGCTCAGTGGTTGAGCATCAACCTCTGAACCAGGAGGTCACTGTTGGATCCAGGTCGGGGCACATGTCGGGGTTGCAGGCTCCATCCCCAGTGTGGGGTGTGCAGGAGGCAGCCGATCCATGATTCTCTTTCATTTTTCATGTTTCTATTTCTCTCTCCCTCTCTCTTCTTCTCTGAAATCAATAAAATATATATTTTTTAAAAAGAGCAGTTGGGAGGCATCTGATGAACCCTGCGGTTGACTAGACAGGTGCTTGCACCTGGTGGGAGGGTCAGAGGCAGCCAGAGGAAGCCATCAAATCCCCCAAATAACTCCTGCTCCTGCAGGAAGACGCTGGAACCAGTCACGGTGGGGATCGTCTGAAAGTCCATCAGGGTGGAAGCTGAGAGCCTGGTGTCTCCAAGCAGGGATTGGGGGGAAGGGAAATGAAAAAAAGCTGTGGTGTGCAGTGAGGGGCTGCTGTCCTAGAAGCCGGGGCCGTCATGAAGGTGAAGTCTGCCTAGGGCTTCCGTTGGAGGGGCAGCAGGCGCTACCATCTGTTGAGTGCCTACTGTGTGCCCAGCCCTGGAGCATAATATGGCTAAGAATGTGAGCTCTGAAGTCAGCCTGCCTGGATTTCAGTCCCTGCTCTAGCCCTTGCTGGCTGTGTGATCTTGGACAAGTCACTTTTCTCCCACTCTGGGCCTCAGTTTCCTTATCTGGAAAACGGGGATAAAATGCCTACCTGCCCCAGAGGGTAGTTGAAAATACGTGTTCAGTGCATGAGAACTTTTCATAGGAATGTTCTCAGCAACCCTGGGTGAGGGAAACGTGGGTAGTTTCCCATCTCCCCATCTTCCAGGGGCGTAAACTGAGGCTCAGAAAGTCCAAGACCGCATGGTTAATACGTGGAAGTGTCAGGAACCCGACTCAGTCTATGTCGGAAGCATGTGCATTCACTAGGTCTGGTGCCCTGGCTCCTCCTCAGTTGAGCAGAATGAAGGGCAGGAGCCCACAGGCAGGGCCCTGCCCCTCACCCACCCCCGCTCTCCAGGCCCCAATAGGGAGGCGGATCCGGTGTGGACACTAAAACAGCCTCCAGGTGAGACTATGGGGCCCAGTGGAGAGTTCAAGTCAGTCTCTGTCGGAAGCATGTGTACTCACTAGGTCTGGTGCCCTGGCTCCTCCCCAGTTGAGCAGAATGAAGGGCAGGAGCCCACAGGCAGGGCCCTGCCCCTCACCCACCCCCGCTCTCCAGGCCCCAATAGGGAGGCGGATCCGGTGTGGACACTAAAACAGCCTCCAGGTGAGACTATGGGGCCCAGTGGAGAGAACGTTGCCTGTGACTCACTATGTGACCCTGGCCGAGTCCTTTCCCCTCTCTGGGCCTCCGTTTCCCCAGCTGCAGAACAGCAGGGTGGTCACAGTTGGCAGTAGTCCTGGAAAGTCTAAATTCTCGCTCACTGTTCCTTTGTGGGCGCCTGGGCAGGGGCATGAGGACTGGCAGCTGCAAGGCAATCTTTCCTTCATTATTCCCCTTCCGTCCTCTGGGGACCGGGTCCAGGCACAGGGAACAGCACACACAACGGTCAGAAGTGAGTGAGCGCAGCATGTTTGGGAGCTGAAAACAGAATAATCTAATAGCCTGGTTTATTCATCCCTTTGATCCGTTTTTTTCTTTTTTAAAACATATTTCTATTGATTTCAGAGAGGAAGGGAGAGGGAGAGAGAGAGAGAGAGAGAGAAACATCAATAATGAGAGAGAATCATGGACGGCTGCCTCCAGCACACCGCCTACTGGGGATCAAGCTCACAACCCAGGAATCAAGCCATCGACCTGGGTCATAGGACGATGCTCAACCACCAAGCCACACCAGCTGGGCCATTTGATTATTTAACCGATGTTTTATACTGTGGGCCAGGCACTGTGCTGGGACAGGGGACACAGCAGTGAACAACAGAGACAAAACCACCATCTTCAGGGGGCTCACATTCTAACTGGGGAGATGAAAAAACCAAGTAAACAAACCAACAACCTGGGTAGTTTCAGAATGGGAGGCGTGCTATGTGAATAATAGCAAATATTTATAGAGCATCTACTCTGGGCCAAGTATCGTTAACAGATGTTCAATAATTTCATCCTTACTCCAACCCCGTGACGGGGTGATTAGCATCACCCCCACTTCACAGCTGAGGAACCTGGCACAGAGGGTTAAATAACTTGCCCAGTGCTACCCAGTTAGGAAGCAGCAGAACTGAGGTCCAGACCAGGCCATCTGGCTCACTGTGCTGCTTGTGGGAAGAGCAGTAAATAGGGCAGTTTGTTCAGGGAAGAGCACTCTACAGAAGGTGACATTTGAACTGAGACACACAAGATGTCAGCCCGCCATGGGGAGTTCAGGAAGCAAAAGGTTCCAGGTGGAGGGAGCACTGAGTGCAAAGGCCCTGGGGCAGGTAGGAGCTTGAGATGTTGGGAGAAAAGCCAGGAGGCCAGTTCTACCCGGAGCAGAGTGACAGAAGAGGTCAGACGCTGGAGAGCAGACGTGGAGGCAGAGAGGAGGCTCAGGAAATGCTTCCAGGATCCTCCCAGGGACTCCCCAGGAGTCCAGTCCTAGTCCCGTGAGGAGTTGGGGTGTTCTTCAACCTGGTCTAACCTATAGGCCTGCGTTAGAATCCAGATTCCAGCCCTCGCCGGCTTGGCTCAGTGGACAGAGCGTTGGCCTGCAGACTGAAGGGTCCCGGGTTTGATTCTGGTCAAGGGCACATACCTCGGTTGCAGGCTCAATCCCGGCCCTGGTCGGGGCATGTGTGGGAGGCAACCAATCGATGTGACACATCGCTGTTTCTCTCTCTCTGCTTCTCCCCTCCCTTCCCTTCTCTCTAAAAAGTCAATGGAAAAATATTCTCAGGTGAGGATTAACAAAAACAAAAAACAACAACTTTGTTTTAAGCCACAAAGTTTGGAGTTATTTATTATGCAACGATACATAACCCATTCTGCCTCTACACAAAGTCGCCGTTTCTCTCCAGTACTCTCAGCCAAGTCTTCTCCTTCCGGGCAGCAGTCTACTCACGTCACTCTAACCTCCTGAGGTGTAGCCTCCCCGGAACCTTCTAGCCCTGCCCTCATTCTCTCCGCCTTCCAGATAGTACCCAAGCCCTTGGTGTGGCATCAAGACCCTGCCTGGCCGGGCAGGTGTGTTCCGTGGTTAAGCATTGACCTATGACCCAGGTCAGGACACATGCCGGGATTGTGGGCTCAGTCCCCACTAGGGGGCGTGCAGAGGCAGCTGATCAACGATTCTCATCATTGACGTTTCTCTCTCTCTCCTTCCCCCTTCCTCTCTAAAATCATCAATAAAAATTTTATATATATATATATATATTTTTTAAGGCCCTAAGTGGCCTGTCCCTGCCTATCTCTGCAGTCCCAGCACTCCTCACCCACACCTCTAACCCCACCTACTCACAGATCCTGGAACTCAGCACTTCCTCTCAGCACGAGCTATCCCCCATCTGCAACATGCTTTCCTGCCACTTCTCTCTCCTGGAAGCCTCAACAGCCATCACCACCTCCAGGAAGCCTTCCCTGACCTTCTGAGCTGAGTTAGATCCTTCCTCCGGGAACCCTCTTGCCCGCATCCTTCCCCTCATCATAGCAGCTGCCCCTAAATTGCTCTGACCACTTTAGAAACCTGTCTCTCTCAACACACTGTGAGCAATTTCAGGGCAGGGATGAAGTCTTCTCTGAGTTCTCAGAGCTTAGCACAAGGCTGGCACATAGTAGGTACTCAAGGAAACCCAGAGGAATGGCGGTGGGAATTTAGTAGTATGGGCTAGGGACCACCTCACATCTGACATGGGACTGTGTGGGGTGCTGGGGTGATAAATGTCAAGGCTGGGACTGTGGAGCCCTCCTCCCTGTGCCCAACACTCCCGCCCAACACTCCCACCCATCCCTAGACGGCAGCAAGTGAGCGACCTGTACATCTCCCCAGAAAAATGGGTGTCATGCGCTGGTTACTTGCGTGAGCTGTGCGGCAGGGCAGCCAGGGTTTCAAATCCTGGCTCTGCTGCCTCCGGGCTGTGTGACCCTCTGAGCCGCACTCCCCTCCTCTGTAAAACAGGCACAATAATGGCTCCCCAGAGGCCTCCATAAGGAATAAGCGAGATATGCAGATAAACATGCTTAGCTCAGTAGCTGGCACAGGGCAGGTTCCCTGCAATTTCTCTGCTTGCCACGCTGTGAGCGACCCTGATCCAGGCCCAGCTCCGTGCCTGGCACATGGCAGGTGCTCAGCCAATGCCTTGGGAATGAATGAGTGAGGAGTCCGATAAGAAAATAATAATAATCATAACAGCACTCAAGTATTAACTTATTCACTCTCATGACTAGCTACAGGAGGTGGGTGCTGTTATTGTGCCCATTTTACAGGAGTGAAATTGAGGCCTGGGAGCAGGCAGATCATAAGCAGTGGAGCCTGGATTCGAGCCCAGACAGTCCGAGTCCTTTAACCCGTTACCCAGCTCCCTATCCTGCCTCTCAAAGCCCCGAGGCCTGCCCTCCCTGGAAGCGTGGCTTCTAGCGGCTTTGTGATCTCAGGCACATGCGCCTCTCTCTGGGCCTCAGTTTCCTCACCTGCCAAGAGAGGATTGTAGGAGCCAGTGTTGGAAGGCACTTCCAATGGATCTACGAACCCAGACCCCGGCTGGCTTCTGGCCAGAGCCAGGGACCTGCTGGCCAGTAGCCCCCACTGGGCCAACACTTTCCAGGGGCTGGACCGTCAAGGGTAAGTCCCTGTATATTGATGGCTGCACTACCCCCCTCCAACCACACTGGGGGGAGTCTGGCCGCTAGCTATTCCCAGCGCCCCCCCAGAGCCCTGAAGGAAGCTGAGGCGGCCACCCCCAGATGCCTATTCCTGTGCTTGGCCTAGCGCCGTGCTGGGGAAGCAACAGCTATTTTGAGCCCTTCTCCCTCCTAGCATGAGCGGTGGGAAGGCGCTGGGAACATCCCAAAGGGGAGGCCGCCCAACGCAGCCTCCCTCTGGATCTGGGCCACACCAGCCCTGCGGCTCTGCCCGTTTTTTTCCAGCTCTGGCGATGCGATCAGTTCTGATCACACCACCACACTGAGCTAACCCAGGAGAACCAACGCAAAGGGCTTCGCTGGGGGCTGGAGCCGAGGGCAGCTGGGCCTTGCCCTTCGGGGAGAAAATGAGTAGCCACAGCTGGACCCCCAGCCGGGAGAAGGACCCGCTCTGAGCTTGAAGTTGGGGAAGATAATGTTAGCACAATGCTAGAACAATACCTAAAGTTTCGCCCTGGCCAGTGTGGGTCAGTGGCTTGGGTATTGTCCTGTGCACCAAAAGGCTGCCGATTCCATTCTGGGCCAGGGCACATTCCTGGGGGCGTGCGGGAGGCAGTTGGTCAATGTTTTCCTCTCACATCAATGTTTCTCTCTCCCTCTCCCTTCTTCTCTCTAGAAATCAATAAAAATATATATTTTAAAAACACCTGACTTTCATTGAGCACTCAGGGCGAGACAGGCAGATGTCAGCGTCTTTCAGGGGATGGAGGGACAAGAGGAGGGGAGCGAAAGCAGGGGTCAGGCCGGGGTCTGAGCTGAGGGCTGCAGGTGGGTCTGAGCTGAGGGCTGCAGGCGCAGAAGTGAACAGTCGGGCCGGCTGGTGTGGC